GGGCGAAATGACCGGATACCGATTTTCCCGCTAAAAAGCACAGACGCTTATCAGGACATAAGGTGTTTCTGAATGTAATTTCTTCTGTTTTAACCACTGCAAAAGCGTAAAGACGTCTTTATTAGATTATCCTCGTGTTTTCTGTTTTCTTACGTCGGCGATTGACAGCCCTAGCCTGACTCTGGAGAAGAAAAGGTAATAAATTTACTGAAATTCTGTTGCTTATTTGGATAATTAATTAACGTAGGATATTAGATCTAAAGCGGTGACTATTGACGACTATTCGTCACTATTCGCCACTTTTCGTGACTGTTCGCCAATATTCGCACTATTCGAGACTATTCACACTATTCGGGACTATTCGCTATTCCCTATTCGGGTTTTCCAGACACCCTCGAACCAGCCGTCGAACGCGTAAATGTTCATTACTGTTCGTTCGGAGAGTTCTTCAACTCACTGACATGGATTGAAAACCTTAAAAAAAGTTTGGTGCAAAAGATTTATTACGTCTTCTTACCTTTTGATGTTCACCTTTTTGTTGTTTCTGATTTTAAATCTGCTACAGAGGATTCAGTCATCTCGCAAAACATGCATCAAGGCGGAAGTGATTCAGTGTGTGAAGGCTCACGGGAAAGCAAACTTAAAAAGAGGAGGAAGAAGGGGATAGAGAGAAAGGAAGCCACATAACGTTACAAGCTATAACTGTTACCTTTTCGTGTAAAATGGTTCATTCAAAGTTACTTTATATATACGATTTCTTAACTCTGAAATGAAAATAGGACGTTTGAACGACATCTCTTTCTTGTCTTTCTTTGAAATCACAAGAACAGAAACGTTGACTTGTATTACGTTGCCCCAGCACCTTGCGCGACAGCTTTCGAGCACGCTTCTTGAGTAGGAATACATCGAAAATCTTCTTTTCGGGTTTACCTCGTCATAACACGGGAACTGAATGTGGTCTCGTACTGATTTTCACCTCATTCGTTATCGTATTGTTTACGAAAAGTCTGCATACGAGCCAAGTCCAGTGGGACATGTTCCCGCAACATTGTTACATGTGTGCAAATGTTGTAATTTTGTCCGTGCTACATGTCGCCTCAGTGTGTACTACACACGTTTTTGTCGCTGCAGCATGTCTTTACAACATGTCCCTGCAACATGAACCCTCGTGTCTGGCCACCTTAATAAAGGTCCTAGAATTGTTCCCTGGGGGACACCACCTTTGACCAATTTTGGAGTCGACATAAAGGAGTTCATTAGACAAGTTTGAGTGCGATTGCTTAAATATGATGCAAACCATTTGTGACACAAACCGCGTATTCCATAGAATTGCAATTTTTGTAATAGAACGTTGGTCAATATTGGGATCGACGGTGTGGAAAGCCTTTTTCAAATCCAGAAAAACAACGGCATTGACGAAACCGTGATCAATATTAATGACCCAAGTATCCTTAGCTTTGAGTATAAAC